GGGGCAGGCGCAAAAGCAGACGAGCCAAGTTGGCCCGGGGACATGGCGCACCGTTCAGGAGGGCATCGGCGACGACATTCTGCTGCGCGGCGGAGGACGAGCCGTCGAGGGAGGAGTCGGCCATGGCGTGCCAGGGGTGTGTGCGTGTGTATGTGCGGCCACGGAGGGGGGGGGGAGGGAACGGGGAGCGGGGGAGGAGCGAAAAGCAAGGGGGAGGGGGGGCGACGGGGAGGGGGGAGAGGGAGGGGAGGAGGGGGTGTCGCCAGTGAACACAATCTGTGTGCCGGTCGGGCCGGCGCCGGCCCAGGCTCGGGCACCGCCGGCCCAAAGAGGGTCCCAGCGCCGGGGACGACCGGGGGCAGGCCTCTCCTCCCAACTCCGGGGCCGCCGGCCGCCACAGCCAGGGGTGCCGGCCTCCGCGACCGCCCCGGGGGCCGTGTGCCGGGGTGTCCGGCATCTGTTCGGTCCGCCCCCCCCCCCCCTCTCTCTCGGGGCCTCCGTTCGGGGCGCGCCCGGAGCCCGGGGTTCACCGCCCCGGTGCCCCGTGCCGAAGACCGGGGCCCGACACGCCTGCGCACAGCGCGAACGAAGCCTCGCAGCCCCGGCGCCCCCGGCCCGGCGAAGGGTTGGAATCTACCCCTCGGCCCCGTCGGGGGCAGCCGGTGTGCGCGCATTTGCCCGTGCCTCAGCCCCCCACTCCGCCCCTGACCGGGAGAGGGCGGGGGGACTAAGAGAAGGGCCGGCTTCCGGCGTATTTGCGCGTCCCGGCCGGTATGCTGCGAAACAAGAACGCGCCGTGTGCCCGCCGGTTTGGGGGCCGCCCAGCCGCGGGCGCAAACGCCTCTCCCCCCCCCCCCCCGGGCGGGAGAAGCCCCCGGCCAGAGGCGCCCGAGAAGGGAGAAGGGGCTGGCATTGTCGTAATAAATAATCATAACAAATGAGCCTGGGTCTTCCGCTCTTCCAAGCGAAAAGCCCCTGCGCGGGCCCCTCCTCCCTCCTCCCCCGGCCGAGGAGAAGAGCCGGGAAAATGCGCCCCCCCCCCCCCCCGCCCCCGCCTCCAGCCGGCCGATCTCTCCGCGCGCCGTGTCCGTCGGCCGACTGGGGCCTTTTACCCCTGAACCCTTCCGCGCCCCGGGGACCGCGAAGAAACGCACGCCAGGACGAGCATCAGTGGCCCGGCCGAGGGGCATGGGGGCATGCCGACCGGCCGCCCGGCCGGCTGGCCGGCTGGCCGGCGATTGGCTCCCCCGGGCCCCATGCCCCGGCAGACGGATAGGGTTCACCTGCGGCTGCACGTGCGCCGCCGGGATCACGCATCGCACGGGGAATGCACGCCCGGAGGCCGGGCGGACACCATGAGCGGCATCACACCGACCAAACGGATGACGTGCGCCCCGCGGGGCGGGTGAATGGCGCCGGAGCCCCCCCCCCTCCGGCCAAGGGCGCATGCACCCCCCACTGGCGCTGGCTCGTACGCGCGCGCGCGCGGGACCCCTTTCGCGCATGCAGGCCGTCTGACCTGCCCTGCTTTGGAGACGGTCCGCGCGCGCCGGCCGGGGACGCGGTTAAACAACCCACACGGCCCGGGGGGGGGGGGGGAAGGAATGGTGTGTGTGCGGGGCCCGGAGCACAGGACCCCGGGCTGGGGCCAGTGGCAGCCAGAAGGGGGGGCGGTTGGCGGCCGCTCGCGCGCGCGTGTTCGAGCTGCGGGCCGCCGCTCCCGGTTTCAGGCCCTGCGGCTCGGAGCAACGTCAGTGCTGGGTTGTGTCGCGCGCCCGGGCCCGTCCTCGGCCCGGCCCCGGCCGCCTGACGGTCGGCTGGCCCCGTCCTTCACGCATCCGGCGGCCATGCCTGTGGCCAGCCCCCGCGCCGTGGGCGGTGCCGCTGGGGCCACATTCTCCAAGCCCGCGGGTGCCCGGCGCCCCCCCCGGGCTGGCGTCGCGGCCGGGCCAGCGCATTCGGCACACTCGCATGCCCCTGGGCCCCCCCTTCGCCGGGGAAGGGGCGGGGGGCGAAGGGATTCCGGCTGACTCGCGGGCTCTCCCCCCCCTGCTGCGACCCCGGGGGAGGAGCAGGGCCAGCCGGGGGCGCAGCGGGGCGGCCGGGGCCCCGGAAAAGCACCTCTGCGTGTTCTTTCCGGACTGTCGGACTGGCCGGCGGCTCGGCCGCGCGGCCGAGCGGCGTGTGGCTGGGCTGTGTGCGTGCGCGCGCGCGCGCGATCCCCCCATCGGGGCTAGCTCCATGCCGCGAAACCCCGCCGGGCCGGGGACACCCATTTGCCACCACCACCGGGCGAATGCGGCCCGCCGGCGGCCTGGGCGAAGGGCTCCCCGCGCGGAGTGCCGGCACCCTGCCAACGTTTGTTTACCCCCCGGCCGCTGGCCCCAGGTGCCGGCCGCCGATGCTTCTGGGCTTCGCAAGTGCGCCCTGTCTTGCCGCCTGTGCACCCGCGGGACCCCGGGGACACTCCGCCGCCCCCGCGGCCGCCCGGCCCGGCCGCCCGCCGCGGGGGGGATCGGCATGGGCGTCGGCAATCTCCGCCGCCGGCAGCCATCCACCGCCGCTTCCCAGGTCGTGACATTCCCCGAATTCTTGTTCGTCGTTTTCGCCGCACATGCCGGGTTTCCCTGCGCGCTCGGTTTTCGGCCCGAGCCACGGCGCCGCACCCCTCTCTTCCCGGCCCCCCATCCACAACAACAGCTCACGCTCACGCCCGCTGGCCGCCACATCTGCCATGTGCAAACGACCCGGCCCCGGCCGGAGCGCATGCCCCCAGCCCGGGCGCCCCCGCACAACCCCCCCCCCCGCTCTTTTGCCACACAGGGCGGCGCGGGATCGCCCCCGGGCTGCTTCGATGGCCGGCTGTTGGGTGTGCGTGTGCGCGCGCTCGCACGGGGCAGTCAGATCTCCGACGGAGCACCGGTCCCTTTCCCGGAGCCAGGGCCGCCGGGGGGACCCCGGGGACGGCGCTCCGCTCGTGTCCTCGCGCGCCGGTCGCCCCGCCGGGCCAGCAGGAGCAACGACACAGGCGATGCGGCCGGGCGCCCGCCTCCCCCGCCGCTAGCCGCACCGGAACGGCGGTCGGCGTGGTCCCCGCCCGTGACCGGGGCGAGAGGCGTTTTTTTGTTGAAAATACCCCCACCCGATCGGGCCCCGGTCGGGAGCCGGTAGCACTTGCACTTTCACCTCGCCTCCCCATACCCCCCCCCCTCGCACCTCTCCCTCCCTCCCCTCTCCCACTCGTCTTTTCGCTCCCCCTGCCCCTACCGCACAAGCTATCGGGGAGTCATGACGGCCACACCCGCATCGGCGTCCTCCTTCGGCGGGTACGCCCCTTCCCCGCCCTCGCGCTTGCTTCCTTCATGTGGGCCCAGCCGCTTACCGCCCCCCCCCCCCCCC